TACTGATCTGACACATCTCTGTGTGTTGCTCCTGTAAAAAAATCACACTGGTTTAAACAGGCACTGCTACAAACAGCAAATGACTAACAAATTTATAGAACAAGGTATTATACTGTGCAAGGCATTCCAGTAATCTGTTTACCATACTCCTAAAAGCATTGTTGCACACAGTTTTGAAGAGAGTTCTGCCTGCCTTTATTTGGTCTATGATTACAGATGCCAAACTGTTTTGCATAAAGTAGAAAGCTGCTTAAGACTATAATATTTCTAGCCCCTGCTGTCATATAGTAAGTGCACATTCTCAAAAAACTCTTAATGAGTTAAGTGCTGCAGGCATCTGGCTTGCCATGTGGTTGGGGCTTCTTGGTTTCACGCTGCCAAAATGAAGTTAGACATTTTAAATGTATCTGTCATCTTTTCAATGCCATCCTAGGGTGTCATTGCTTCAGCTGGCAGAGAATAGGATGAATCTTGGCTTCACTGAGTCAAGATATCACACCATTGTGAACAGTTGTTTAAATTATGACTGTCTGCCTTCATAGTAGTAGCTTATTCCATAGCATTCTGTTTGTGTTCTTTCCACAACAAATTATAGCAAATAGCTTCAAGGTAAACTCCAAGAATAAATAAACTCCAAAAGCACATATTCAGTCTTTATTTTATTAAAACAAGATTTGTTCTGCTGAAGGAATGAATGAATTTATAACTGCAAAACAAACAAGGAACAAAACCTTTGCTTCTGGGCATGCTCAGAACTATGCTATTACAAATTTTTCTGAAAAATATTATCAGGAATGCTGTAATTCAGTAGATAAAACATTAAAGGCAAAAATTCAGTGATTTTAGTTACATTAGTGAAAGTGATACATTTTGCTTTTCCTATCTGTCCCCAAAACAGCAAAAGCTGAAAACCCCTTATTTCCAGTATGAGTTCAGATTACTTTGTTCTCAGGCAGAGTGACCCCAAGGGAAGAAGAAAGGAAGACTGGCAAAAGAATCAAGAATCATCATCCCACTCCTGTTTCACACTATTCAGTGAGGTAAAGCAGACTCCCAAGCACAGGAGCACCTGTGCCACCCTGCCCTCTGCACTTCAGACTGGGACAACATCCTCTTGTCACCTGTCACTGATTTATTCCAAACAGAACGTACTGCCCTGAAATTTAGCTCTTTACAACATAAAAAAAGAAATCCAAATACATGACTCAGAAAAACAATGGAAACAACAAATCTGAAATAAAATGAGCAGAAGATACAGAGAAAGAACATCCAGCAACACCACTGAACCAGCCTGTAGTATTGCTGTATCCTTACAAACCCACATTGTGTCAAATGACCACAGACAAAAGAGATAGAGAAGCAGATAAAAAATTACAACATCAAGCAAAATTATTGCAAAATACATAATCGATAACAACATGAAAACCACAAAACACATTCTCATTTGGGGACAAATTCAGCATGAAACTTAAAACACAATTTCAGATGAAGCCATAGGCTCATTATAAACAGAAATAACCTCATTTATCTGAGTCCCAGAGAGGGGTACTTTCATAACACAATTACCAGAACATTGGATACGAACCTGTCAGAAATAAGAAGAGAGCAAAAAAATCCTATCAGAAAATTAACTGAAGAACTGCAAAGTGCAAGTGTCAGATATCTGAAGTTTTGGGGGATTACTATTTTATGTTTGGTTAGCGCCTGGCACAATATGAGAGAGTCACACTCATGATTCACAATCCTAAATGAATAATAAAAATCTATCTGCTTACAATAAGACTGTTTTGAAAGGTTTAATGAGTACTTTATGTGGGGAGAGACTTTTTAAAAATTATGAAATGCATAATAAAAACTACAAACAGGTCAAAATTGCAAATGTACTGAAGAAGAAAAGGTAACATTTTTCTCAACTATTAAAAAAGGTACTGGTTCTAACTGCTGCCAATTTAATTCATAAAGCATGACTTTATTCCTCTCTACTCCAGCTCTTTTCTTGCTTCTCTATGTTAAGACATGCAAAAATACTGACAAAACCTCTTTGCCTCTTTGTCCACTGATATTAAAAGAACCCAGTCTCCCCCCACAACCAAAAAAAAATACAAAAGGGAAAAAGAAACACATACAAAAACAGAAACAATATCACCCAAAAACAACCAACCCACCCACCAATTTTGGAGACAAAGTATTTCAGTTCTCAAGTTTGCCATTGCTGTAGACTACACAACCGTGTTTTGAAGTATTGGTCACGCTGCTAATGAAACAATGTTCTATTCCATAAGGGCAGAAACTCCATTACTTATCTAACAGGAAAGTGCTTGCCTATTTCTCAAGACCCCAGAATTTTCTCCTTCTTTGCAATATTTTGTTTTGCAAATATGTTCATAATTCTCATTCCAAAGCAGTTTCTGCTTTTGCTTCTCATATCACAGTATTTCCTCTTTTTCCTAGTGGTCATCGAACATGCACAGAAGAGGCACAGATTAACATCCAAGCCTACAGTAAACCTTATTTTGACAATGTCAACCACATAAATGTTTCCAGACTTGTACCTCAAGTCATAATTCTTCTAATAAATTTTTACGTACTTTTTTTTCATTTTTCTTTTTTTTTAAGGAAAATATATAGCTACTTACACTCTTATTTGAATATAACATTTTTCTTCTAAAAATCTCACCCTGATAAGAGGGTCTATTACCAAAAACAAAAGACATTACAGTCTAAAAATATTAGTAATTTTATAGTCCTCAACACATCTTTATTACTCAAGATTTCAAGGAAAAGTTGTGCACCGGAATAAGACAAATGTACAATGAATGAGTATGGAGAACAGTATTTTGACTCTAAACAATTACACGTTAGTGTTCTTAAAGTACAATGTGCATTAAAACTTATTCACACACAGAATAATTCATGCTCTTCACATGTGAAATACTGTGAAAAATAAGATGGAAGAAGTTAGATAGGAAAACATTCTTGTATCATAAAAATATGTTAGAGTGGGACTTATCTATAGTTAAAGCTTTGCTTTAAAACAAACTTTATTTAAAAATCTTCTTTTGCTTTATCTAAAAATTAGCTTTCTATAAAAACCATTCCTTTAAAACTTTGCTTTAAAAACATCAGTTTTATGTTAGACAAAATATTAAATTATACAGGCACAATTAGTTGAGGGCTATAAAAATTTATATTACAGCCCTTCATTTTCCAGTGACTTGCAATACAGTCATAAGATTCTGTGTCTACTGACAACCATAGGAAAATTCGTCCAAAGAAATCAACTTTTATATAAAAAATAAAATAAATTAAAACAAAACAAATAAAAAAAAAAATCTGTCAGACCATATTTGACTTGTAAAGGAACTTACTTTCCAGTTGACACATGCACATCTTTTATTTATCTTAGGAAATATGTATATACATTAAAAACATCCTCAAAACATCCTCAAAATATTCTCTGAACATGTGGTTCATGATGACAGCTTTTATATTTCCTTCAGATACTGTATACTAAAATAAACCATTTCCAGGTCCACCTTTATCTCAGCCCAAATCTGTGACCCTTGACACTTCAGAAAGAAGTGAATGAAGAATCAAGAAGGGTTTTATTTTCTGGGGGGAACATGCACAGATCTTTTCAATGCCAGAGACGGCAAGGCCTGCTCTTTTCCACGTTTTTCTTGCGTTCTGAAAAATGTATTGTACCACTAGAGAATTTATGAAGACCTTCAAGGTAAAATAGATTATATAATATATCAAATTGAAGATTTGAAAACCAAAGCCTGGATTATGATGATGTTTAACTGCGTGCTTAATTTACTGGAAATTAACCATTAATCTTAGGTTTTAAAGCACAGAAACATCCATGAGACTCGCTTTATGTCTCCTAACCCCATCAAATAAACTGTCATCATAACAACTATCAAAAAAAGAAAAAAAACCAAGCAACTAAGCTAAAACACCATGGGTTTGGGGGTTTTTTGCCATAAAACCATAGTAGATGGAACATCAGGGGCCTAACTTGAATCTCTGTGGAATATAATTTTTATTCAACCAGGTTTTTTAACCAAATATTTGAACTCTAATACATTTAGATGGATGCTGTGTTAGGTTTATTTAAATATTTTACTGAAAATTTAGAAAGAAAGTTTGCACTCTAGTCCATAAAAATTTAACCAACACTACACCAAATAAAGCCAGAAAAGCACAGAACCCCAAACTCAAGGCTGACGTTCTGAAACAACTTGCTGCTATTTGGTTTTTTTTGCATTATAACTTTTCCATCCCCCCTCACTAAGGAATGTGAAATTCACCTACAAACTTAATCAACAAGTTATTAAAAACAAACAAAGAAGCCCCCAAACATAACCCCGTATTTCTTTTAAAATTCAAGATCTCACCTCAGCTACCACCACTTAAACAGTTCCCTAAGGAGACATATTTCCTTACCAGCATGGTCCATTATTGCTTGATGAGAGCCCACAGTGACTTTCAGATCAAAAAAAGAAAAAAAAGCTTTGGACACGATTTCAGGAACAAAGAAGTCAATACAAAAATGTGTAAAATTATATTTCATTTCAAGAAAGCATTGAATTGATCTGAATTGTATCATACTGTATTAATTTTAATGCCATTCCACAGGCAAGTATATATTATGTGTTGAATTAGGTGCACGTATACACAAACACAAAATACATACACAGAATTCAGCCCTGATTGATGTGTCTTCATTAAATTTCTAGCATAGCAAGTGAGTCATCTTCTGCACTTTAGAATTACGTGAAAAATTTTAAATAGGCACAATTAATTAACACAGCTTCTAGATTACCTTATTATAGTGCACTGTTACGCACTGATAATACCATAATAACAATATGATACCATTCAAGGTCATTTTGCTGATGTACAGGTGAAGACTAGTAAATATAAGTGCTTTTAAATCAAATCCACAACTTCTGCAGCTTTACACAGTAGAACAGTGCAATACATTGTCCCCATATTCCAGGAACAAGAGCTGAGTTTACAGTTGTATTTATTTCACATTAGACTGGCTCTGCAATTTCTGGAGCTCTAGCATTTCAACTGCATTGTCTATGGCCTTCTTTTTTCCTCCTTCCTTCTTCCAGGTGCTGGCTATAAAAAAAAAAGAAAAAAAAAGTTCTTTTGGTAGCTAGCTCTCACCTGGTAGTACAAGACAGTTTCGAAGTAATGGTACAGCAGAGGTTCTTCTAGAGGGCCGGTTCACAGTGCCAGGATGACCCCGATCTCCACTTACTTCCCAGCTCCTGACTTTGGAGGAAGCTTGCTCTGGTTTCTTGGGAAAAGATTCTGATGTGACTTTCTGCCTTTTTTCAGGAATCCCTGTTACAACTGTTGAGTTCAGAAAGGCCCTTTTTGGTTTCCTCCTCACCTTTAATTTTTTAGCATCAGGCTTTTCTTTCTTAGGGTGCTTTCCCACTGTAGTTTTCCTTGTCTGGTACCTATGGATGGAGAAAGCAGATTTCTGGGCACAAGGCTGAAGTTGTCTTCTCATCCCCTCTTTCTGCTGTTTTTTAGTTCTGGACGTTTGTTTGCCTGTGGTTACTCTGTTTCCTCTCCTCTCAAGAGTACATCTGACAGACTTAGATCCTGCAGCCTTTCTGGAAAAAACTGGTTCTTTGTTAGTGCCTTCTTTTCTCTTCCATATTGCTTTTGGAGTCTCCCTCTCTGACCACTCACTCCTGATGGAGGTCAGAGGAGTTTTGGTAATTCTATTAAATGGGATTAATCTATAATCTCCTTCTATCACAGAGTTCAAAGGTGAAATGATTAGGTGTTTAAAAGAGTTCTCAGATACAAGACAATCTGTTTTTTCTGTGGCAACAGATGGTCCATCTGCCTTTTGACTTGAGGCTGTCTCATTCCTTTTATCTCGATCTGGTAGGAAAGATGCTGAAGAAGAACTACAGAAGTCTGACCAATTGAGTGACTTTGATGGTGTGCTTTCTCTCTGTGTATCAGCTAGTTTCTTCATGTTTGTATCAAAGCTGAGACTTCTGAAAAGCTGGCGAACATGAGAGGGCTTTTTGGCCTTTTCTCCAACTGTACTCTTAGGAGGCGTTTTCAGAATTCGATTTGTCAGTGGGTCATAATATTTGAGAGAACACTGTTTGTATTTATATCTTACAGAGTCCTTGCTATCTGTGGAGTGATGATTCTTCCTCATTTTGGGAATATCTATAGGTTTACCTTTGCACTGTTTTACTTCTGGGCACGAGAGTACATACACCACTGTCTTGGGCTGTACAGGACTCATGATCTTGCTATAGGACTCTGGAAGTTTAAGGGCACATAGTCTAGTTTTCATGTTTGGAGTTTTTTCATTCTCCAGACATGCAACGCTTGCTTTCTGATCAGCTGGATCAGATTCCCTTCTAGACATTTTCCTTTTTGCCACAGGGTAGTTCAGCAGACTTGTTTGGGTGCCATGGCTGACTTTAACCACCTGACACCTTGAAGCCAGGCGCCATGTCCTTTTCCTAGGCATTTTTACAATTTGTGGGTTGCATAGTGTATCTGAGGCCAAAGACGGGTTATCAAAATCAGAGCCACCACTTAAAGCATCATTAAATTCTGGCAGTGCCTTAACTGGTGCATTTTCTGTTCTATTACCCTCAATAATATTGATCTTTTTTTCATCCTTCTGCTTTTTTTTCTTCATTCTCTTCCCTGTACAATTGGCTGAGGATTCACTGTTAAAGTAGCAGCGAAAACGACCTTCCCTGAAATCACGCACAAGTTCTTCAATTTTTATATCATCTTCATACATTATTTGAGACCAAGTTTTTCCCACAAAAGAAGGAGGCACGTGAGGCAGGGCTGGAAGAACTGGTTCTTCGGTATGAACTACGACATCCTTTTTCACTGCTTCTATTTTCTCTAATGACTCAGTTTTTAAAACAGAAGAGAGCTGTGTTCCATAGTCCTTATCTTGCAAACATACTTGGACCTCTTTCAGGAATTCTATATCTTTTATAGCTGCCTTGGGTAAATCTGTTCCTACCTGGATTGGTGCATCACAGTCAAAACTCATTTCAGAGCCCTCTAAATTAGTATGGTCCAGAAGTGATGAAAAAGGTACGCTGGGATTATTCTCTTTTTTGAAATAAATTTCTTCAGATGTAGTTTCATGGCAGTATTTCACAATTACATCTTCAATAGTCTCATCCACTGAACTTTCATCACCTCTGTTTGTCTTTATGTTTTTGCATCTTGCTAGTTGTGGGGATGTCCCAAGATCTAAGGAGCTGCTGATACCCACAGTATCCCTGAGATGGAGATCAGACACCAAAGTTTCATCCTGAGTTCGTAAACTATCTCGCTTTGAGAGAGATTGACCTGAGGTAATAAAGGAAGAATTGCTGTGGCTATGTGTAGGATTCTGATGAGAAACTGAAGGGCATTTTGGGTGAACCAGTGCTGGAGCAGGATTCAAGCGTGGGTTCAATAACACATCCCTACTGCAGACCTCCACTGCTCTTTCATCACATCCTCTTCGCAGAAACAGATTTGATGCTGCCAAATCCCTCACATTTTTTCCTGTTTTAGGATTAACAGAGGAACTGTGGCTTGTAGGACTGAGAGAAAACTGCTGAGGTACAGGGCTCACAGCTGTAGACTGACCTTCATGGCTATGACCTGCGATTCGAGCACGTTTCAGATTTACCCATTTCTTATCACTACAAATGCCAGCAGACTGCTGGGATTTCCCTGGAACACATTCCTGGCCTCTTTGAAGTTTTTGAAAACCTGCTTCTGTAACAAAAGTTTTCTTCGTGCCCTCCCGAGACAGGCATGGAACAGAAGAGCCTATTTCACGAATGGACTCCTGGTCTTTGCTGGAAATCTCCTGTTTCTCACTATTCCTCTTTTTCTGCATCTCTTCTGAGAACGGGCAAGAAATCCTAGGGGCCTCCAGAGTGACGGGGGATGGCATGTCATCATAGGTTGGTCTAAAGGGGAGGGAAGAGAAAAGCAGCTAAGATAAATACTGTAAATATGCTAAAAATGTTTCAAACAACAGCAGTGTGGGGGTTTTTTAAGAGTCATTACCTACACTGTATCACTTCTAATGAATAAACTGAAATTACTATTTCTGTTGTTCTATCTATCTCAGAGATATTCAATTTTTTAAAATTATGGAGGCGGAAATGCTCCACAACGCTAAAGATAACAATTTGGGCATTAGTCTAGCACCCTCTTTATGCAATCATCAATTAAGAATGGCCAAACATAGATTACAATGATTTCATAAATACAGCACAGCAGAAAAAGTAAAGATATTTCCTTTGTTTGAAGTGATAAGCCTATAAAGAGGTGATTTCACTGATCATACGATCATTACTTAAAATTGAGCTTGTAAAGAAATGGAACATAATAATAGGACACAGTATAAAACCATTGTTGAGTATAAATGCCCTTTAACCTACAAAACACGGCTGCCTGATAGGAACTCTGCACATGTGGCCAAGGAATTCCATGTTTACCGTTTCTCACAGACATACCACAGCTTCTGACTCACTCCTGCAAGAAGCCAAGTTAGGATAGCTCAGTCTTGCAGTGACAACAGGTTTTTATATATTCTGTAACTGGCAGTTCTGTCTTTAAGACTGCCTCAAACACAAGGGTTTGTGTCTTCCAGAATTAACACAGGTGACAGATATGGACTATTTTTCCTATGCAACACAGGAACCCACAAGGCTTTATGTGGAGCAGCCAGGCAAATTTAATGGAAACAATTTTTAAAATACGTAAATATAACTGAAGAAGAGAATATTGTGTTTCACTCAAAAATTATAACCATCTTGTGAGACCCAAACGGATGCTTACTTTAATACATGGCAGACATCAGCTAACAGAAGTATTGTGAACAAATTTTATAGTACAGTAATTTCCTTGGTTATATAACTAAGACTACATACAGTTAAGGGATATAGGACTGAGTAAGCAAGAGAAATCTCATATAATGAAACATTTAAAAAGAACTATTACTATATGAATGCAAAGTAATCAAATACATCAGATGATCAAACAATGCTTATCATCTGAAATGCTGCTTTGCCCTTGCATGGTCACCTAAGCTTGAAATAGGACCTAAAGGGACTGCCAGAAGCAACAGAATTAATCTTTTAGCTTCCTAACTTCAGGGCTCTTCCATCTTTGTGTGAAACATCTTTGCATCCTGGCACCTGGACCTTGCTGAAAGACTGAATATAAAATTAGATAGATTTTCATATGGAGAAACTATAGCAAACTCCTAGGTCTCTAGCTCAGTTAACAGCCTACAAGCACTTCTCAAAAATTACTCTTAAGCAAATGTCCCTGGGGGATGAGAACAGAACAACAGTTTTATATAGTTAATAACTTTTGACAGTTTTGCTACAAATTATCCCCTTAAGTAGAATGAAGATTTACTTTCTAAAATGCTCAATACTATTTCCTTAGGTAAAAAAATTACATACCAAGTGTTTGGAGGAAGGAATGATTTGGTGGTTTGTGGGTGTTTGGTTTTGTTTTGTTTTTTTACTGGGGGAGAACAACAATATCCTTTGAAATTCAGTATAAGGCAAAGCTCTGATGAATTTTTCCTTTTTCCACATAACTACTAGGTATACTGGTTCTGTAAAACAAATCAAGTCTTACAAATATTTCCATAGTCTTTTTAAATTACACATAAAGATCCCTTGTATGAATTCAGCTAAACAGTAAAAACAGGTATTTAAAGAACTGTGTGAAACTGCATATAAACCCAAGTGTTTTAACATGAGAAAGAAGAGAATCAAAATCTTACCTCAAGTGTCAGTTAAGATCATAACTTTCTTTTCAGAGCACGACCACAGCATAAATCTATTAATGCTTTCTTTTCCATCTTTGCTTTACTTCCTCCAAACTCTGTCTAGATTTGGGATTACTTACCACTCCTTCCTCCAACTTAATCTAGATTTTATATATTATTTTTCTCATTCTATTCCTTCTACCAACAAATTAGAGGAATCTGGGTAGATTGTTTTTCCTTGTTAGTAGGTTTCATTCAGCAAAGGTGTATTAGTGACACCTCCAGAGAAGCCCGTCTTAAAGTGAATCCTATATTTTCTCCACAGCAAAAAATGCTGAATGTTCTTGACAGTGCGATAAAATCTATTTATTTAAGATGGGAGGACAATTTATTTACTTGTGGTGACATGTACATCATGTCCTGGGCTAGTCTGGCATAGACATGCATATTAGCTAGTTCTGGCATATCCCTGATAATACCAATGAGTGCTTTCAGACAAAACACCCTTCTGCTTGTTTGTCAAGACATATAGCAGAGTTGCATATTGAGAAACACTGTACAGTGCTGGGATCAAACTGGGATTTTTGTCTGCCTTTCAAAACATTACAAATGAGGTTTAATGGATTTTCCTTCATCTACAGAGAAAAATTTAACACACTGATCCTCTTATCACTCTTGAAACATGCAAATGATAAATAAAGGGAACACTTTCCAAAATTTGAGCATTAATGAATTGGCCAATTAATGTAATTCAAGTATTAATTGAACAGGCAAACTGGAAGGATAATGAAAAAATAAACATGTAAATACTTACCTGACATAATCAACAAACCAAAATTATAAGCTCTTTCAAAACACGCATAAAATATACTGCTAAACATAAATATATAAATATATATATATATACACATATGGCCCAGAATTAAAATATTTAGAATAAAACATATAATGCTCAAATTTTAAGAATTTGTAAATGCATGTGAGATTGTACAGTCTGCCATTGTAAGTGCTGACCTATATATTCCTTCTTTTTCAGGTCTTCATATTTAAAAGCTACTAGTGGTGTTGTTTCAAATCCATACGTAGTGAAGTTTTGTCTTCATATAAACAGCATTTGTCTCCATTGAGCAAGTTTCACCTCAAATGAGCCAAATTTACTGCTCAGCAGTAGAACAAATACAGGAATTCATAACACATGCATTCCACTAATACAGATTAAAATAAAAAGCCTTCTGTATTATACCTGCTGTCATGGTATCTGTGGGGATGATGCTGCAAAACATCTTGAAGGAAACGCTCCATCAAGCTACTGGTACCCGTACGATTCCTACAGTATGTTGTAAAATGTCTGTGCTGGGAGCTGAAAATGTGCTGGGGAAAGATGCAACAGATGATTAGTCTAATACTACTGCTAACACACAGGCCTAGTCCTAAAAATTCCTTCCCAGGTTAAACGTTACACCATTGCTATGAAAATATTTAAATAAAATCTTCTTTTACTATTTGAAAATCTTAATTGAGATTTTTTAAGTATGTTTAGGCAGTCTCAAATAATACTAAAATGTATTGAAACATCTTTCTGAGTTGGAACTTAAATTAGTGGTTCTGGTAGCTGCTGACAAATCTCTTCTAACTAGTACAAATACTCTCACAAATCCAACAGCTGCTCACAAGTCTCTTAACCAGAACAAATACTATAAATGTATGTATAAATTACTTATAATATTCTTGAACTTAACATGAGCAAACATCCTGCAATTCAGTCAAATCAACAAGAATTTTCTTAGGTGCAGAAGATTAAATAGGCTTCTACTTTCTCATTTTTCTCATTAAAAAAGTCTGTAAGACAGGAGACTGACAAAAGAACTGAAAACGGTTGATCAAATGTCTCTAGCCTTGATATCGAAGATATTACTATAACCCTAGTACTTTAAAATATATAGAGATTTCAAGATTAAAGACACAGAGAAAACCATCATGGATGCAATGTGTGGCACTTCAGAAAAGCAGCTGTGTGCCACTCCATCAGCATCTTCTACAAGAGGTAACAAATAAGCAAGGGATCTTCCTGAGGTCACATATTGTGCAATTCACAAACAGCTCATTTTTCACTCAGTATTGCTTGTTTGGTGTAGAAACTGATATTTATGAGTTGATAAAGCCTTAGGTACTCCTTGCTATCTGCTGCTAAATTATGCAGAAGCTGTCTCACCTGCTCCAGATTACTGTAGTGTACATGGCAACAGTTGCAGTATCCTTGTCTATTTTGCACAGTGGATGCTGCAGGCCGAGGATGTTCTTGTCCTCTTCTGTGTAAACTGAAAGAAGCAGGTAATTTTGTCAAGACATGTTGTGTTGTTTAATCCATGTCCTTAGCATGGAAATTCTAAATATCTATCTTCCTACACAGATGGGAAAAACTTGCAAGATAACTGTTTCCATTTTAGAACTGTAATGGTGAGACTATGTATTTTAAAGTATTCTCAAGCAAATTTCACTAAAAAATTTTTTTCTTAAATGCAGAACAAAGGATAACAGCTTGAAGGCACAGTTAGCTGAAATCTGAAAATGACTGCTTCTAAAGAAAAAGGTAATTTTTCTTTTCATTCATCTGTTTGTTAGTATTTTGAAATAAAAGAAGAAAAGACAAAAAACACTTGACACCTACAGAGTAGTTTGGGGCACTACAACATGCCTTCCCCACAGTTTTTACCAGTACATGGGTGTAAGATACAAAGGATCTCCAATCATACATTTAATCCCTTTTGTGTCACTGTCATCCATTACACAAGGTAACAGACAGGCTGAAAAGCAGATTCTTCCCATTTTACTTTGGTAAGCAGTAAGCTGGATGCCAGTTATATCATCACCTAACTTACCTGCTACTGCTGTCCTGTCGTGGAGAGCCCTCAACACCATGTCTTTGGATTCCTACAGAAAAACAAAAACAGAAAAACAAAAACAACCAAGAAATAAACCAACCAAACACATAGGTACAAAACACAAAAACCAACAGAGTAACATGAAGATGGAGCATTTTACCTGCACCTAGCTACTTCTCTTACATTGCATTTGTCAAAACTACTATTTTAAAGGAAGATAAAAGGTTTAGTAAGTTCAAAAAGGCATGAAGAGATCCTTTTGTTCGTAAAGTTCATCCA